TGTAAACAAGACAAGGGAATGCAATAGTGCAAATTGTAGCTAAGGAACAAGGGCATGGGATGAAACCCTCCCATGACTTACATACGTTGCATTGTTAGCCATCTATTTTTACCAGGCCAATTGCATTTATGTAATACGGGTTACCAAAATCTTTACCATAGGTATCTTTGAGATACTGTGTTGTATAAAAAAAAGCCTATTTATAAATGAAACCAGCCAGTTGTTATTAAAAGAAACAGCTATTAAAGGTTGTCTTTCCACAATGCTGTTATAAATTAGAACACCCTCTGAATGTGTCCTTAATTCAAAGATTAATCAATAGAAGAGGTCCCTCGCTAATTGAAATGCTCCTCACCATCTAATCCACTAAAGCTTCGGGTGAATTAGTCGCCGGGTTGAAGTACACAGCTGTAAGAATAGCGGGGAAGGAAACAAGTCCTTGAATCAGATTTTATTGACCAACATCTCATGAATGAAAATAGCAAGTGGAGTAAAAACAGGCCAAGTCTAAGCATGCAGCTTTTTTATTGTGTCAGAAGCAAATTGGCTGTCTGCAAGGATGTTGCCCAGGGGATGCCGGATGTATTACCATTCTGTGGGAGGCTTCGCTCATGTCACTGCATGAGAAGCTGGGGCTGACAGACAGATGGGAGCTCACCCTGTTCCGTGGATTCAAACCGCTGACCTTCAGGAATCAAGTCAACAGTTCAGCCGGCACAAGGATTGAATCAATTGCACCACTGCGTCATACAGCTGAATGAGACAATAAAGTTATGGAGAGTGGGTTCAATCCATGATTGAATCAAAGAGGAGGAAGATTGGTTGCTGGTTGCTATTAATGACATATCCAAGCCCCCTCTGACATCAAATCGCATTGTTAGTTTCACACACATGCACACAGATACACATTTCAAATATCTCTCAAGATGGGAAAAATCATGCTGTTGGAATATTCCCAAAGGAAAAATTATCTCATTTTAAATGTTTTTACCCTTTAAAATCACTTTCTTCTCACTTTTTAAGTTGATTTTCTTGTATGTCACCTTTAAAGAGAGGGTGGTAAACAAATACTGTATGACCCTGTTATACATAGATTCAATATCCATGGTTTCATGTACCAATGTTCCAAAACAATATCCTTCTGCAGAAATGTTTGTGAGCCCCTAAGCCCCCGTCTACACTGCCATATAAAATCCCAGATTATTTGCTTTGGCCTGGATTATATGTCAGTGTTTATTTATTTCGTATTAAAAGTTTATTTATATATGTTTATTTATTTCGTATTAAAAGCATTGCATAAATTAGTATAAAACTGATAAAATTGAACGAGCGCCAGCGGCTAAATATCTTTTGACCAAAAACGGGCAACAGCAATGGCATTGTCTGTAGCCTCCAACAATTCTTCCTCTGTACACGAGGCAGAGCATAGGGGGCAAGCATACAGATGCGGAGTTGTCTGATCTGCTCCGCAGTCACACAAGGTGGGGGATTTTTTTAGGTAGTGCCATTTTGCCAGGTTGTCTTTTGATCTGCCAACTCCACTTCTGAGTCTGTTCAGGGACTTCCAAGTTGCCCATTCTTGGTTTGTCCCTGGAGGAAGACCCTCACAAGGGGGGGGCATCCAGTTGGGATTTACTGGTTTAGCTGCCCAGAGGGATACCCTTGCTGTTGCTGGGGGCATGCCAAGAGGAGTGGTAGTTCTCATAAAGCTTTTCCTTGATTTGAGTCTACTGGGAGCTGGTAGCCATGTAGTGGATGGCTTTCACAGTGTTCAACCTTATTTCTCTCACATTTAGCAGCAACTTCCCATTGCACATCTGGGGGGGGGGGGCAATGCCAGCTAGCTTGTAGAGTTTATCCACAGGTGTAGGTTTAAGACATCCTGTGATTATTCTGCATGTTTCATTCAATGCTATGTTCACCTGCTTTCATGGGCAGACTTATGCCAAACAGGCCAGGCATACTCGGCAGTTGAGTAAGAGGCTAGGGCTGATGTTCTTATTAATTTTGGGTCTGCACCCCATGTGCTGCCAGTAAGTTTCCACAGGATGTTATTGCGTGCAGCTACTTTGCGCTTGTGTTCAAGCAGTGTTTCCTATATGCTAGTGTTCAATCTAAGGTGACACCGAGATATTTAGGATGGAAACAATGTTCAAGCTCGTGACCTTCCCAGGTGATTTTCAATTTCCTGTTGGCTTCACGGTTGCTTAAGGGGGACACTGAAAGAGCCTCCTCAAACACGGAGTAAATACAGTCAGGTGTCCCCCGGGCAACGTTCCTTGTAAACGGCTTATCTTTGCAAACCCAAAAGCATTGCTTTTAAACATAAGGCAGTGTAGACACATATAATCCAGTTCAAAGCAGATAATGTGGATTATCTACTTTGATAATCTCGATTATATGGCAGTGCAGAAGGGGCTAAGTCATCCAGTGCTTCTAGCCCAAATATGGCCAAAATATAAGGTTCACTATGATCCATTATTTCAGGAGATATCCCCCATGGTAGTCACACTGCACATATAAATTAAAGAGCAAAGCAGCACAGTTTAGGTTGGGTTACTTGTGATCTCACTGATATGACAAAGTCAATGAAGAATTTTGTTCTGCTTGCAATTTTTTGACACAAAAATAGTCTTCAGTCTGCAGTAAATCTGTATTTCCGAAGTTAACCTTGGTTGCTATGTGCTGTTTTGCTTGGCATAACGGTGAATTATCTCTATACCTTCTCACAAAATGTAGAAGAGTAACAGTAGATTTATTGTCCCACTGCATATATTTATTGTATGTGGCTAAAAGCAGCTGAGTAGGTAAATCTGGAAGCTTAAAACCAGCATAGGAAAAAAAAAAGGATTTAGATGCTCTTCTGAACCCTTCTGAGTTTGAATCCTGGAAAGTACATATGTTTAATGCCATGTGGAATCTGAGCCAGAGCTTGGAAACTTGTTCTAAAATGGCATTAATCTCTACATTAGTCCTAATTTTCAGGACACCAAACTATGAGCACTGAACCAGAAGAAAAATAACAATCTGTTATAGTTTATTCTGGGTACAAATGAGACACCTATCTATATAATATATAGATATTATATAGAAATTATCTATATAATCTATATAAATAAAAATGTAATGTTTGTTAGTGGGATTAACATAACTCAAAAACCACTGGACAAATTGACACCAAATTTGGAAACAATACAGGCCTACGAGTGGCTATCACTCATAAAAACACTGAAAAACAAAGCAGAAGACTTAAAAAGCCAAAAACAGAAAAAAAAATCATTACAACGAATGAACAAAACCACACACATATGTGCAAACACACATATACACAGACTTGACCACAGCAACGCGTGGCAGGGGACGGCTAGTCTATATAAATAAAAATGTAATGTTCGCTTGTGGGATTAATATAACTCAAAAAGCACTGAACGAACTGGCACAAAATTTGAACACTACACCCCTAACAGACCAACGAGTGACTATCACTCATAAACCCTTCCCAAAATATAGTGGAAAGGATTTAACCCTCCCTTCTCGCCCCAAAAAAAGCTAAATGATGATACAGCGCATGTGCAAAAATGACAGCTCCCAGCATCCCCTAGACCAGGCCTTTAGGAGAGGAGGAAGATCCAAATGCACTGCTTCCAAGCTGCAAGTTTTCTCCTTGGATTTCTTTGAGAGCATCCCAGTCCATACATATTTCCTATTCCTGGATTGCAACTCCCAGCAATGCTCCAGATAGATAAGATAAATAGATTGGATAGCGATAGATAGTAAGTAGATAGATCAATCAGGAGGACTGCTGGGAGTTGCAGTCCAAGAATAGGTAGAGAAGAAAGAAAGGAGAGAAAGAAAAAGGGAGAGGAAGGAAGGAAAAGGTAGAGAAGAATGAAGAGAGAAAAAGGGAGAGGAAGGATGGAAAGAGGTAGAGAAGGAAGAAAGGAAGGAGAGAAGGAAAGGAAAAAAGGGAGGGAGGGAGGGAGGGAGGGAGAGAGAGAAAAGAAAGAAAGATGGTGAGAAGGTTGGCCACAGCAATGTGTGGCGGGTACAGCTAGTAATATATAATATACATATGTATGGAGCCCCAGTGACACAGTAGGTTAAACCACTGCTGAGCTTGTTGGCTAAAAGGTCGCAGGTTCAGATCCGGGGAGCGGGGTAAGCTCCCGATGTTAGCCCCAGCTCCTGCCAACCTAACAGTTCGAAAACATGCAAATGTGAGTAGATCAATAGGTACCGCTCTGGTGGGAAGGTAGTCATGCCGGCCAATTATCTTAGAGGTGTCTACAGACAACGCTGGCCCTTTGGCTTGGAAATGGAGAAGAACACCAACCCCCAGAGTTGGACACAACTGGATTTAATGTCGGGGAAAACCTTTACCTTTACTTTACCTATATGTATGTATGTGGGCAAGTATGTTTGCAGCAGATTTCCTATTGACTCCCACTTCCAGAGACCACTGTGACCCCCACCAATGATGGATCAGGACCAAATCTGGTATACAAAACCCCCCATGAATAACAGAAAATACCGAAGGAGTTTGCGGGGTGGGGATTGACTTTGATTTGGGGGAGTTGTAGTTCACCAATATTCAGAGAGCACTGTGAACCCAAACGATGACAGATCTGGACCAAACCTGGCAAACAGACCCTGGAGGGGTTTGTGGGGGAATTGACACTGGATTCTGAGAGTTATAGTTCACACACATTCACAGAACTCTCTGAACTCTACCAGTTGCCATCTGCTCACCACAGAAAATCATGATAACCATATCTAAGAAAAATGAATGGTCTATCCAATGTAATTTTATGAATCAGCGGCCCAATTGACCCCCAGAAACAGGGTTATTTGGGATGCTGAAGTTTAATTTTGTTGGGCTGTGTTATCAGGAAGAACGCAGGACACGTCTGCATCACCTCCCACTTCACAGCCCCAGTTAAGTAAAAAAGAGTCTGGAAAAGGAATCACTCGGCACATACAAATATAGTAGGCAGAGAGACTTATACAGAAAAAACACATTTTATTTCAATCGCTTTTGTAGGGACAACTTGGCAAGAACTGAGTTTTCACAGCAGCAATTTCACCTTAAAAAGATCTCATTCTAAAACACTCTTTATTATCTGAGACAATCTTACAAGCACCTGGAGACTCAGGCAAATGCCTGTGGTTTTGTTTCTTCATGCCCGAGGCCAGGAACCTGACTCCAGAGAGTTACATTTTCTTAAGGAAATAAATGGATCTGTAATTGTAAACCTGCACAGAAGGTAAGGGAAGGGGGAAATATCCAACCTGAAAAGGCACCTATGCTTTCAAAGCATCAATAATAGGACCAAAATCACCGAAGTGCCTTCGAGGCAATTCATTTGCTGGCAAACCCTGGAGCACTGAACTGATGTCAACAGGATTTCAGTTTTTCTAATTCTATGCAGCAGGAAGGTTTATCACTCCAGGCCTGGGCTTTTCAAAGCACTGGAATGAAGAAACAAATTTCTGAGACAAAAGACAAACTCAGGCAGTTGATTTTTTGACAAAAAATTCTAGACCATTTATAATTAGTCAAATCAGTGCAATGTATCTTTTGTGCTCACTAGTGCATTAATTTCAAGAGAAATTAACTGATAAGATAGAAAAAGGAAAATGGATGGAAATGGGGCATATGATTACCTTGAATTTAATGTATTGGTGCAAATTACGTTGCATTGGTTCTCGTAAGAAGAAAAGAAAAGCCTACCAATCCTAAAAAAACTTCCCAAAATCTATTTGTCACTTTAATCAACAGGAATTTCAATCTGTGTCAAATTAGAAACACAGAAAAGGCACATCTCTGACATACATGTCTCAAGCATAATCATACGTTTAAAAGCAAGCACTGGCATTTTTAACGGCAAAGCACAGCATATTTATTGAATGCTGAATGTGGCACACAAACCACCCCCATTTTAACTTCACAATTTGGAATTAAACTGGCCCATCAATTTTTCCAACTTGATTGCTAAGGCCATGTCACCCTTGATTGTCAGCTTTCCGGACATGAAAGCCATCGTTGGCTTCAGTTTCCCTGAAACGAGAGAAGGAAATGCTTTAACACACGTAGCCCTTGTTTTTAGCATAACTGTAATTAACAACCAAACATCTGCCAAGTTTTAAAATTAGGAAAATTAGCTACTTAAAAATGAGTATTTCTTAATTGCATATGCCACCCTTTGTGTTGAACAAATATATTGAAGGCAGCTAACACGAGAAAAATAAAAACCATGCAGATAAAATATAAAAGATTAAAAAAAAACATTGAAAATCCATCCAGGGAAACACCTATATACCTCTATCTATGTACTGTGTCAGTGTATAATGGTATTGAATGTTTGCTGTATATGTGTTCTGTGATCCGCCCTGAGTCCCCCTTCAGGGTGAGAATGGCAGAATATAAATACTGCAAATAAATAAATAAATAAATAAATAAATTTCTATTTAATAGGAATAGTTTTTAATGTAATTTTAATATGTGTACTCTTTCTATTGATTTCACACAAAGCCCTATCCACATCCCAGGCAAATCAATGTATAGGGGTCAGAGTCATGTTCCTTATAGTGACAGCAATTGTTCATCCAAGTGAACAGCTGAATCCAAATATAACTCAAGAGAAAAGCAAACTTTCCGAAACCTACCTGAAAACATTTTTACAAAGTCACTGCTAGACATGTTCATGATCACGTCCACTTTTCCGGGTGGTTCTCCACTTCCCGCACTACCACCTTTGTTTTTAAGATCAATATACCACGTTCCTGCTTCTTCACCTAACACAAAAACAACACAATTCAATTAAACCATATACATTAACCATGTGCGTACTCCATTCACAAATAAATCATTTAAGAGACTTTGAGGTTTAAATAAATCAGGTTTTTCTGGGGAGAGAGATGTCACCCCTTTTTGCGGACTCGCTGTTTCATGGATTTTTGCCTCCTGGCAATAATAATAATAATAATAATAATAATAATAATAATAATAATAATAATAATCTTTATTTAACACCCCGCCACCATCTCCCCAATGGGGACCCGGAGCAGCTTACATGAGGCCAAGCCCAACAACATATTACAATAAAGTAAAACCAAAACACAATAACAACACACTAAAATACATCCAACATATAAAATAACACAACAATGAGTGGGACGCATGTGCAAGATAAAAACGAAGATACTAAAAATACTAAATCAGGATGAGATAGGGATGGAGCAGATTGTTTGTGGGGGAGAAACTCATAAAGGAATGGGATCATAAATACAGGCCTTCATACAGGTGGGGAAATATACTCTGGGGACAAAAATGATGGAGTGTGGAAGGGGGTTTCACCCTACCCCTCGGGAGAGAGTCAGCCAATCATAAAGAGAGAGAGAGAGGAGATACAAAGCAGTATGTAAATCACGGCTTTATAGCCCATTCCTTATAGCTACCCCCTAAAAAAAGATGCATGGTGCCTTTAAATCTCTCCTCGCTTCTGCCTCACCCTCGGAATGTCATATATATATATTTATTCATTCCCTACTTCGCGGATTTTCACTTGTCGTGGGTAGTCCTGGAACTTAACACCCGCGATAAGGGAGAAATACTGTAGCTTGAAACATATAATCACGTGACATGTTAGGATCCTAACTTAATGCAACATTTCCTAAATAGTTTCTGAAAGACATTTGTCACTCTTTGGGTTTTTCTCTGCCACTCATATGGATTAAATTCCCGTCTTGCTCCTTCCCCAAGTCACAACATCTTAAAGAGCCCTCTGAAAACAAAGTGCAGCAAAAAAAAACCCAAAAAAACACTCAGAAGTCAAATTAGAACTGTTGACATAAATGTTTAGTTCCAGATTTAGACATGGCTATAGAGTATATCCACTGAAATTAATTGTACTTAAGTAGTTATGACTAATGTTTTCTTGGCGCAGTCTACATCCAGCATAATGGGGTCTCTGAATAAACATGGCTAAGTCTGGCTCCAAACCATCGTATTTATAGATCTAATTTTTCCTCTGTGTTTAGAATGCTTGGCATGCACTCTTGAAAACTGAAAGATAAACTAATACTATTTATATAGGGAGATGGCAATTGGCCCAAGCCTACCCAGTATTTCAGCACCTGGAGGTGGGATCTGAATCTGGGAGTTCCCTATGATAGGCTCTCTTAAAACCATTACGCCCAACCCGCATACTCTGACAATTATAAACCGGGGTGTGTGTGCACATCTACACTATAGAATTAACCCAGTTTGATACTACCTTTACTGCCATGGCTCATATGCGACAAAGCCTGGGATTTGTAGTTAATGAGGCATCAGTACTCTTGATCAGAGTAAGCTAAAGACCTTGCAAAACAACAATTCCCATGATTTCATAGCATTGCACCATAGCAATTAAAAGTGGTGTCAAACTGCATTAATTTACAGTGTAGATACACCCAGAGAAGTTGAATTTCAAGAGCAAAAAATGACTGAATAAAACCTCTATCCTCTTTTTTTCAGATTGACTTTACTTAACTGTGATGAAAAAGATAGGTGCATTCTCCATTTTTATGTAGATCCCTAAGAAAATCTGTGATTTTGCTTGCAGCTACATGAAAGCAGATTATCTATTTTTTCTATTTTAAAGCTTTATTGATATTAATTTTGGCATAACAAAAATAAACCAACACAAATCCTACACCCTCTATAATAAGTTATATCCCCCCCACACACATGTAAACAGATTTTATAAAACTGACTTCCCACCTCATCAAGAAAAGGCATTTTTCAAATGGCTATATTTTACTTCCTTGCTAATTGAGTCTAAACTTCTGATCAATAAACTAAACTTAAAAATTCATGAGTAGTGTCATTGTCGTTTATTTTCTACTAGCTTGGGTACCCGGCATCGCCCGGGTTATTTGAAGTCAAATTTTTAGTTGTACAAATGCCTAAGGTTGTGGGTGAACTACAACTCACATCATGCCAAGTTAGCTCCGAAAAACTCCATCAGTACTTAAAAGTTTGTTATGTTGAGCAAGTTTGCTCTGGTTGCATCACTGGTGGGAGTCAGTGTGCTCTCTGGCTGTAGGGTAAACTACAACTCCCACTATGGTGAGTCAGTCCCCTCAAACGCCTCCAGGAAGCTGAGTTAGTCATGGAAGTTCTGTGGTCCAGGTCCACCATCGGTGGAGGTCACAGTTTCTCTGGTTGTGCGTGAGCTACAACTCCCAGAAAGGAAGGTCAGTTCTATGCCACTCCCAAACTCCTTCCACTAATCAAATTTTGGCACATCAAGTATGTGTGCCAAGTTTGGTCCAGATCCATCGGTGTTTGTGTTCACAGTGCTCTCTGGATGTAGGTGAACTACAACTCCCCAAATCAAGGTGGATTTCCTCCAAAGACCTCCAGTATTTTTGTTGGTCATGGGAGATCTGTGTGTCAAATTAGTTCCAGGTCCATCTTTGGTGGAGTTCAGAGTGCTCTTAGATTGCAGGTGACCTATAAATCCCAGTACCTACAACTCCAAAGTGCCCAGGCCAATTCTCCTCAAAACCCACCAATATTCAAATTTGAGCATATCAGGTATACATGCCAAGTTTGGTCCAGATCCATCATTGTTTGGGTTCATAGTGCGCTCTGGATGTAGGTGAACTACAACTCCTATAAATCCCTCCAAAGACATCCAGTATTTTTTTTTTGTTGGTCATGGGGCTTCTATGTGCCAAGTTAGTTCTAGGTCAATCTTTGGTGGAGTTCAGAGTGCTCTTAGATTCCAGGTGAACTATACATCCCAGTACCTACAAATCTGATAAATTGTGGTGAATTCCCCCCAAATCTCTCTATCAATTTCTCTGTTTGCTGTATGTCATAGAAAAGAATAGGCACGGGTGAAGGGAGAAGGAGTGGGCAGGGTCATGAAAATTCCACACCAGTGGAGAGAGTAAGAACACTGGGATGCCTGTGGTGGAGGAAACACATAAAATCTAGCATGAAATTGTCCCCATATGCAAGCCTTCACTTGGGTGGTGGGCAGTATGGTGTTTGTGGAGGATATTGGCAGGGCTTTTGTACATGTTCACGGCACTCACTATAACATGCAATGTCATTGGAAGGAGGACCATTGGTGTCTTCTGAGTAGTAGGAGCTATAGTGTTTGTGGAGGCAGGAGCTTGTCTCTGTGAGTGGACACTCTAGCCATATTTTCACTTTTATTATGTGTATAGATTATCAAGTAGCAGTGATTCCCAGGTTTTACCAAATTATTCACCCAATGTTATTACTCTTATTTATTTTGTCGTCAAATATGATCATGAATGTGTTTTCTTGAACATTGCTCCTACTGTGAGAATATTCTGCATCTTCTTGGACAGGCAGCACTGAATATAAATACCAAATACTAGTGCTAGGAGGAGATCCAGTCTAATAGTATGGCAAAATGGATGCAGGTCTCTTACCCGACAATTCAAACCGATAAACTCCTTGGGTTGATTTGACAACGTCATCGCTAATTGCCCCTTTGATAATCTTAAATGTTTCGGCTACAGGACCGGCTGCGTTTTCTGCAGCAAAATGCACATGATGCTTAACTTTGTCATGACTTTCAGACTTAGGACCTTCATGCTTCATTAAATCTTGTTTTTTTCCATCCTTGAATGCTGGAGAAGCTCCTGTAGGACCAAAATGAATGGTGAGAACTTGTTTAGATTCTAGCATTCCAGAGAGGCACTTGGAAAGTTATTTTTAAAGCAAACTAATATTACAGGGGCAACAAAGGCGTTCATCAATGAACAATGGTAGGATCCTTCTCGGACGTCCAGACCAAAGCAAAGAATCACTCACATTCTCCCAAAGCAAGCTGTCCCCAGATCCATCAGCAACAAATGATGCATCTAAGCCAAGCATGGGCAAACTCTGGCCCTCCCACAATTCCTAACAGGCAAAGTTTGCCCATGCCACATGCATCAAACACAAGGCCCAAGGGCCAAATCTGGCCCACTATGTCCATTTTTAATACTATTTATATTTAATCCTGTTTTAATGTTCATATATTTGTATATTTTAAATGGTTATGCTGATGACTTTATGTTATGCCACTTTCAAGGAAACTTGGTGATTAAATACAGAAATTCTGTCACGTCAAGGGATTTCTAGTTCCATGTTCCCTGGATCTCATGTTTTGGATTTTTGATGCTACTCATGGACTTTGAATTCTTTGGATTATTCCTGATATTTGGACTTTGGTTTTTTATACTGTATTTGCTGAACTGCTTTTCATATATATTCTTCAATAAACTGCTTTGGTATTTTACCTTGGACTGGGGTGTGTGTTAAGTACAGAGGTGATTCCCAGCCTTGGAGTACAACATATACCCAGAAACAGGTTTAACATTTGAGGCACCATTTTTTAAACTGTTGTTGTCCTAACAATAGCCAATTAATAATTAGTGAATTTTGCCCCTTTAAACAAAAAACTGTTGGGTAGAGAACAAAATACTTTCCTCAGATAAACAACACTGAGGACCTTAGTAGAGAGGAAATCAAAATCATCACCTTGCGCTTCCATTTTCATCGCTAGGGTATCCGGGTCTACATCCAAGAAGAAATCCGGTAGCAGTGGGTGTCCTAAAGGTACAGAGTGAAATAATAAAATGAAAATTCACATCATTCACATTAGACTATACATTAAATCCTAAAGCAGTTCAACAAGGAATTATTTTGGCTGCTACAGTAAACCTTGATTTTATTAACACCAAACATCCTGTGCGAACATTATATAGATATGTGCACAAAGCTCTTTTGGAAATTGGACTGAGTTCGAACCTCCAAATACATGTATAATATCTACATATGATGACAACATTGTCACAATTGGGTTGCTGTGAGTTTTTTGGGCTGTATGGCCATGTTCCAGAAGCATTCTCTCTTGATATTTCCCCCAGGCAGGAAGCAGCCAGGCTTTGAAGCTGCAAGGGCATTCAATGCTAATCAAGGTGGCCAATTGCAACATTCACACTTGCCTCAAGCAGACAAGAGCCTGGTTTCCAACAGACCTCACAACCTCTGAGAATGCCTGCCATAGATGTGGATAGAGAATTCAGGAGAAAATACTTCTGGAACATGGCCATACAGCCCGGAAAACTCACAGCAATCCAGTGATTCCAGCCATGAAAGCCTTTGACAACACATTATTGCAATTGTTTAGTGCTGCCAATATATATATCATGGCTTCAGGAGTTTTTAATGTCCTCATTTTTCTCTGTTCCAGGCTTAATTTTTGTAAATGGAAGAGATGATACTGAGGGAAAGCACTGTGAACTTCTCCACCTTTTTTCTACTATTATTTTTAGCATAATTTAAAGATGACTGACATATCATTTCTTTCCTATCCTGTACAGTCCTCAGATGTGGCATCACAGGATTTGTAATTCATGGTTCTCAACTACGTAGTATATAAATTCCAGAAGTCCATGCTACCATTTACAATGGTAAAACTATGTGTTTCACATACCACAAATTGTGCATTTTTGATACTGCAAACACTGTGGACTACAGCTCACACAACCCATTAACATTGGCCATGGGGGTGGATGCTGTGAGTGAAAAATTATTTATTTATTTATTTATTTATTTATTTATTTATTTATTTATTTATGGTATATTCCACCCTTCTCACCCCAAAGTGGACTCAGGGTGGGTCACAGAAGCGGGGAGATATTTTAGGCAAACATTCAATGCCGATTGTACAATGACAAGACAGACAACAGATAGAGGCATTATATAAGCTTTTCCCTGTCTTTCAGTATCTTTGGAGGCTGTGCTCGGTTCTGGCCACAAGGGGGTGCAGTTGCTCTATCTCCTTGCCGAAGAGCTTTCTTTGTTTGTAAACTTTTCTCCTTTTTCTGATCCATAAGCTGTGCCTAAAATACCTCCCTGCTTAAGGTAAAGGTAAAAGTTTCCCTTGACATTAAGTCTAGTCGTGTCTGACTCTGGGGGTTGGTGCTCATCTCCATTTCTAAGCCGAAGAGCCGGTGTTATCTATAGGCACCTCCAAAATCATGTGGCCAGCATGACTGCATGGAGCGCTGTTATCTTCCTACATAAGCGGTACCTATTGATCTATTCACATTTCCATGAGTTTAAACTGCTAGGTTAGCAGAAGCTGGGGCTAACAGCAGAAGCTCACCCTGCTCCCCAGATCTGAATGCCCAACCTTTCGGTCAGCAAGTTCAGCAACTTAGCAGTTTAACCCACTGTGTCACCAGGGGTCCCCACTTAATAATAATTTATCTACTCACATTGCTGTTTTTGATCCGCTAGGTGGGCGGGGAGCTGGGCTGAAGGTCAGGAGCTCACCCTGACCTGGCTTTGAACTGTCACCCTTTCAGTTGGCAAGATTTACTGAAGCTGCAGCTAGTGATTAAGCTGATGTGCTGAAGTCGGGCCTTTAGGTGGGGGACCAGCCCATGTATTAAGTATCAATTTATGTAGTTTTTAAAAGATAAATAACAATATAGCTATCCTCTACTGCAGGCCTGGGCAAAGCTAGTCCCTCCAGTTGTTTTGGACTTCAACTCCCACAATCCCTAGCAGCCTATCAGCCCATGCCTGATATAGCACGTTCTAATATTTCAATAGCAGGTGCTTGTCCCTATACAACCTTCCGTCCCCATTCACCTTGCAGGGTCACATTCCAAAATTGCTGATATTAACAAAAAAGTATTGGGGAAGGGTTGAGGAAAAATAGAACAACATTTCCTCAGAAACAATACATCATATTCCGTAAGGGAACACATTACCAGAGACATCAGAACTGAAGCCATGGATGCATATGACCCGTGAACTGCAAGTAATTTATTGTGTCATGAACTGGCCATCTGGAAAGACTGATAAGGTTTTACAAATCAACCACATATGGCTGGATCCAGACTTAGACTCAACGGAAAATGACCAAAATCAATAGTTCCTGTGATTAACTGATCTGAATGGATTTATGTTAAGTCTCAATTCAACCCACAAACTACAAAAATATTGTATTTGCTGGACTGCAGTTTCTACATAGCATAAACCCCATTTCTAAGGAAATTGGATTACCTGGGGCCACCGCGTATGCATCAAAATCCTTGATTCCTTCTTCTCTCAACAAATTTTCATCAATAACAAAATTCCCAGTGAAACTTTTGGGCTTTGTTAAAATACAATATGCAGCATCTGCCAGAATATCCGTTTTCCTACATTGTTTTTCTACGCCAGCGCCTCCCAACATATCCATTGCAGAGGTATAGATAGCTAAAAATAAAACATACACACAGAACGCAGTGATCTTTCTGCTTTAAGTATAATAAAACAACAACAATAACAACTACACTTTATTTATATTCCACCCTTCTCCCCATGAGGACACAGAGTAGATTACAGTGTAAACAGATACTGGCAAACATTCAATGCCTTGTTACAATACAATGAGACACACAAACACAAACAATGGCAAAGGCTTCTCCTTTCATTTCAGGCTCTGGGGAGATGTTGTTCTCCATTACCAAGCCAAGGAGCCTGTGTTGTCACCTTCTGGTCATGTGACCAGCATGCCTGCTTGGAGCATCTTATGCCTTTTCCGCCTAAGTGGTAGCTAATTATCTAATCACATTTGCATGTATTCAAACTGCTAGGTTGGCAGGAGATGGGCTAACAGTGGGAGCTCACCCCGTCCCACAGATTCGAACTGCTGACCTTCAGCAGTTCAGCAGCACAAGGGTTTAACCCAGGGATCCACAAACTTTTTAAACAGAGGGCCAGGTCACAGTTGGAGGGCTGGATTATAATTTGAAAAAAGGATGAATGAATTCCTATGCACACTGCACATACCTTATTTGTAGTGCAAAAAACACTTAAAAACAATACAATAATTAAAATGAAGAACAATTTTTACAAATATAAACTTATTAGTATTTCAATGGGAAGTGTGCGCCTGCTTTTGGCTGATGAGATAGGATTGTTGTTGTTGTGTGCTTTCAAGTTGTTTCAGACTTAGGTTGACCCTGAGTGAGGGCCGGGTAAATGACCTTGGAGGGCCGCATCCGCCCCCTGGGCCTTAGTTTGAGGAACCCTGATTTAACCCATTGCACCACCGCAGCTCCTTATGATTCAATAATAACAGCAACAACCACAATAGAACAGATGGCCTACAGGTCCCTCCCAATATTTCAGTACCATCATGGTTGAATTACCAATGTACAATGACTTATAAAAGGAAGTAAATTCCCTTTGAGTGGAAGAAATATATTCTAGGATCTTTTTCACAAGTCATAGGTAAAGGTAAAGGTTTTCCCCTGACATTATGTCTAGTTGTGTCCGACTCTGGGGGTTGGTGCTCATCTCCACCACACTCCAGGGCAGAGAGTTCCACTGCTGAACAGCTCTCACAGTCAGAAAGTTCTTCCTAATGTTCAGGTGGAATCTCCTTTCCTGCAGTTTGAAGCCTTGTCTTCTCCTCCTCCCAACATCAGGCTTCTCAGTAGATGGGCACTATTGTCATTGAATTTTTCTTTGTTGATTACTGGTAGTATTCAGAATATAGTTCGCTATGGGAAATTGCAAACAATTGTCGAAATCCTTAGTACTTCTTCACTTACCATCCAAACTCCACCCCAAAGTAAGATGGATACATTTAAATTTTAAACTGAAATTCCTATTATCCGTCACCTGGCTGGCCAGGACTGATGAGAATATAGTCCCAGAGCCTCCAGGAACTACCCATAATGTACAGAGTTAAAGCTTTAAGGGAAGGGAAAGAGGCATAAGGTCCTTCCCTACAGCATTTGCATTGCATGGTCTATTAAAAGCAGCAGCAAAACATTTACATCTGCTCTTTTGATTTCTAGTAACCTGATTACACTGAGAAAATTGGATTTAAGTGCTGGCTACTTGTGAAGTGTTCAGTGAAGCCTTCAATGCCTAGAAAGAAAATTGGAGAGAAAATTCTCCTTACATTTGCAACTGATGAACAAGGACAAGGGCAAATATCACCCTATTAATGGTCTTGTTAGCCAGCTAAAGTTTTATTTCCAGTCTGTATCTGTGGAACCAAAGCCCCCAGTTTCATTTATGCATGTCTGACAAAGTATGTTGACTGTAGGCATTTTCTAGATCCTCCAGCATGACTTTATGGTATTCTTTGACCATAAGTCCTTTATTTACTGTATTTACTTGAATCTAATACACATCTTTTTTTTTGGCTTAACTTGAGAAAATTGAGAAGCGCATTAGATTTGAGTTAAAAAATTCACAAATCCATGCAAAGTTCAGAAATGTATTCCCAACACATATGTGAACTGTATTATATTTAGTAGGAAGGTGGGATAGAGATAAATCATAAATATTAGTAAGTCAAAGCTCTTCTCTTAAGAGCAATCACCACTAAATACAATGCATTTGTTCTCTAGGAAATATGCATAAGTTTGGAAATAGTAAGTTACTATTTGAAAAGAGCTCAATTATTTTCAGAGTCAGTAAAAAGAGCAGATACCTCCAGAAAACTAAGGAAAATCACTGCAAACTGCAATCTCCATCCCAAAGGTATCTAATGAAAACTGTAAAAAATACTTGATATACAGTGTGACCAAATTTTGAAATCATATTTCAATACGGAACACTTTTACATCAACAATGAGCCAACAATGTCATGCGGTGCCAAAAAAAAGTCAATGGGATTTTGGCCTGCATAAATAGGAGCATAGTGTGTAGATCCAGGGAAGTCATGCTTCCCCTCTATTCTGCCTTGGTCAGACCACACCTGGAGTACTGTGTCCAATTCAGGGCACCACAATTGAAGGGAAATGTTAACAAGCTGGAATGTGTCCAGAGGAGGGTGACTAAAATGATCAAGGGTCTGGAGAACAAACCCTATGAGGAGTGGCTTAAAGAGCTGGGCATGTTTAGCCTACAGAAGAGAAGGCTGAGAGGAGACATGCTGGCCATGTAGAAATATGTGAGGGAAAGTCATAGGGAGGAGGGAGCAAGCTTGTTTTCTGCTGCCCTGGAGACTAGGACGCGGAACAATGGCTTCAAACTACAAGAAAGAAAGGAGATTCCACCTGAACATGAGGAAGAACTTCCTAACTGTGAGAGCTGTTCAGCAGTGGTACTCTCTGCCCCAGAGTGTGGTGGAGGATCCTTCTTTGGAGGCTTTTAAACAGAGGCTGGATGGCCATCTGCCGGGGGTGCTTTGAATGCGATTTTTCTGCTTCTTGGCAGGGAGTTGGACAGGATAGCCCACAAGATCTCTTCCAGCTCTATGATTCTATGGAAATGTGGCAAAATGACTGAAACTAAGTCTTCAACTATATAAAAATAGATTTTAAAAAAATTACCTGTTTGAGGCCATAATGCGTTAACTGCCACTTCACCTTTAAATTCTTCTGATAATCCCAGCACACACATCGACATCCCATATTTAGAAATGGTATAAGCTAGAAAAGCACACAAATACGGATTTAGCCACTTCAAATAATTGGAAATATTTATTTAGTGCTTTCTATATAACACTGTATTTCGGACTAAAAATTCCAAAGTGAAGGACTAGTCGGTCTGAAAGAGAAAGAGATACAACAGACATCCGGTTGGTCACTTATTTTTCATGTCAGGAGCGACTTGAGAAACTGCAAGTTGTTTCTGGTGTGAGAGAATTGGCCATCTGCAAGGACGTTGCCCAGGGGACGCCCGGATGTTTTGATGTTTTACACTCCTTGTGGGAGGCTTCTCTCATGTCCCTGCATGGGGAGCTGGAGCTGACAGAAGGAGCTCATCCATGCTCTCCCAGGATTCGAACCTCCGACCTGTCGATCTTCAGTCCTGCCAGCACAAGTGTTTAACCCATTGCACCACCAAGGGTTCCTGTGCTCACTGGCTGGTCCCTGACTACCAGACTATGGAGGACTTTGGACTGATTCAGCTGAGTCCCTCTTATCTGCATAGGTTTTTCAGAACAGATTTCTTTCCACAGCTGCAACAACTATATCTCCAAATGTGGAGGGCTGGATTTGCATTCCTTTGGGTTCGAACAGATTATACTGCTGTTAAAAAGTATACTTACCACAGTGATTTTTGAACCACAGTGGGTTTAAATTTATTGGAGGGCTGATGTTAAGGATATGACCGATCTTACTCTTTCTCAAATATGGAAGGCAGATTTTTGATCTGGAGATATAAACAAAACACAAGGAGGTAACTAGGCTTGCTTGTACGCTCCCATGAGCAGCTGCAGTAAGATTTTGTCCATCATGTTTACGTTCCATTTTTATGTACATCCCGAGACTTGCACCTGTCAAAGTTTCAGATCTCCATTCTGCTTTACCTTTTGCAGTTCTAGGATTTGTATAATGTCTCCAATGGCTTCTTCTCTGGATTCCATGCTGGAGTTGAATGGATTTCTAACTCCAGCTTGAGTTAGAAATCCATTCAACTCCAGCATGTTGTTGGAGAGGGTTCTGTACTTAAGTAATCTAGTCCAGGGCTTCTTAAACCTTTTCCACTTATGAGGAAAATTGTTCCTACTATACGTCAAGGGAACCACAGACCACATAGCGAAGCTGATTAAGAAACACAACCTACAAACTATCAACAGACCCAATAAGAAAATGCAACAAATGCTACATTCATCGAAGGACAAGAGGGATCCTCTCACCTCTGCAGGAGTCTAACAGATACCGTGAAGCTGTGGACAAGTCTACATAAGGACCACCAAACACAGCATTGCCCAGACACGAATCAAGGAACATAAAAAGCACTGCAGAGTAATTCAACCAGAGAAGTCAGTCATAGGAGAGCACTTGATGAACCAACCTGGACACAGCATATTATTGAAGAACACAGAAATGCTGGATCGCTCTAACAACCAACATGTCAGACTACACAGAGAGGCCATTGAAATCCACAAGCATGTGGACTATTTCGACAGAAAGGGGTAAACCAAGAAAATAAACAAAATTTGCCTACCAGTGTTTTTTTAAAAAAAAACTTTAAAATCAGGACAGTAAATAAAGAGCAACACTCAAACAACAGGGGGATTCCTGACATAAAACAATCAGGACCAGCTAACACCTTCCTACAAAGAATTTCCCCAGGCAGGAAGCAGCCAGTTTTTGAAGCTGCAAGGCCATTTGGTGTGGCCAGTTGCAACATTCACACTTGCCTCAAGCAGACAAGGGTTCTTTCTCCCACCAGGGACCTTCCATAGATATATAAACCCCCTCCCCCTTGCCTAGTTTCCAACAAACCCCTCAACCTCTGAGGATGCCTGCCATAGATGTGGGTGAAACGTCAGGACAGAATGCTTCTGGAACATGGCCATACAGTCCAGAAAACTCACAGCAACCCTATGTTGAATTGGTTGAGACTCTATAAGATATCCATTGAAAAAACTAGAGCAAACTGAGTTAAAGTTTTTGCAGTTTTGAAGAAAAGATTCCATTTCTTCAAGTGCATCTACACTAGAATTAATACAGTTTGACACCACTTTAACTGCCATGGCTCTGTGCTATGGAATCATGGGAGTCGTGGTTTTACAAGGTCTTTAGCCTCGTTGGCCAGACAGTGTTGGCATCTCACCAAACTATAAGTAAAACTAAAACTCAAAAATAAAATACTTTTTGTTGTGTAATCATGTATGTGAAAACGATATTACCTGAATAGTCCAAGGTCTGTATTACTAGCTCTAGTTAGAACTATTACACTATGTAACACAGTTTTTGTTCCCAAGTTATAAGTGTCATTTCCTAATTGTTTCTATCAAGACAACATGGAAAAAGTTTATTGCACTTCAAAAACTTTATTTTTGCGGGACATCTTGAAGCTCATTCTGCTATAGTTTTTCAATGAGTAGCAACAAATTCAACACAGTTTGTGGCTGCCACAAAGTAGTTGGAGTAGAACAACTACTTTCAAAGTAAGTAACGCACAATTAAACAGGAAATAACACTTTCAAACCAGAAACACATTTTTTTCCAATTTTGTTACATAGTGTCATTAAAGGAAAATTGGAAACAATTTGTATTAGATTGCTGTGAGTTTTCTGGGCTGTATGGCCATGTTCCAGAAGCATTCCCTCCTGATGCTTCGCCCACATCTATGGCAGGCATCCTCAGAGGTTTTGAGGTCCAGTATCCATAGTCTCAGGTACCTGGAGGAACCTCCTCTGCTTTGGCGTCAGTTCAGTCAACGCTTCCTCACCATTCATTGGAATGTAAAATAAGTCCTTCATAGGAGAAAAACCCCGTGACTCATAACGTCCTCCAAAGCATTCCCCCCAGCCACCATGTCTGGAAAATTGGGACCAAATCCTTCTTTCCCAAGGCCCAAACCCTTTCCGGTTTTCTCTACCACCTCCCCAGTTCAGAGTCCACCCAATTGGCCCAGGCCCATTCTCCCAAGAATTTTGTAAACTTGATAGGCTTGACAGGAGAGTCAAATGGACAGAGTCTGCAAAAAGCCTAAACATTGCATCAATCTGAGAATGTCTTTTTGACTCCTAACACCTTCCAACTAACTTAGGAAATCTCTAATTCCATTCATCATACATCTAACTTTAACCTAATGAATTTTAAAAAAAAGAGATGCATTATTTGCGCATTTTTTAAAAGGAATACATTGCCCATAAGTACTTACGTGAGGTAAGTTCCTCTGGTGTTGGCACTCATCATAAGGTCCACTTTCTTTGTAGGCGTTTCTAGCGTGCCAGTCAGAGAGATAGCACTTGCGTTGTTCACAAGAACATCTATCCCTGATTTTGTTAGGAAAAAACACTTGCTTACTTCACTAATTGTTTTGAATTTTTGAAAGACTTTAAAACCATGACGCGTTAAGTTGGAAATCATTTCAAAGCACACAACAACAAATAAATACATTAATATGAATTTTGTGACTTTTGCAAGCTTAATTATATTGGACTAATGGATTATGGCCTGTTAGGACCATAACCTATTGGGGATTACGACCTGTTAGGATCATAACCTATTGGGTAGCAGAGTTTCAGAAGTGTTCCTTTAGTTTATTGGGTAATAGATTATCACGGACCATGTAAATATCTTGTTTCTAGTCGACGCTCTCGGCAAACAAATATGCAAATAGCCTTCTTTAAAATAACATGTTTGTTTTACACACAACTTCATGTATTTAAATATACAGGTACATTGCTTGTCAGGTTAAACTTTAAAATGTTTTTAGTTTGTGTCTTTAACAGTCTCTTCGAAACTATATTGCTCTGTACAGCTCTCCAGTCTACTTCGAAGAGACTCAAGCCTCAACTGACTTCTAATATTGGCTTCTGTACACAAACAGACTCAAGCTTCAACAGTCATTCCTCAACTGTCATCCTTTTAAACTGCATCTAAACAGTCACTGAACTAATCACATGCTCTGCAGCCCCTCCCACTGCCTCAAGTACATAGACCTAAGGAAACTGCAAACCAAAGAAGACATACACTTCAGGAAATAAACGACACATTATAAACAGACAAAACATTAAACAGAGGCTTGAGAAGGTTGCAATCTCTAACAAATTGTTCATGAGTTTGATTTAAAAGTTCTATCTAGGAATCTCTAGGTCCTCTAATATGTTTCTACAGTCAGCTTCTGCTGAAAGTTCATCATAGAGGGAGGATTGAAGACCTAGAGATTGACAGAGAGGTGTTCTGTCAAGTAAAAAAAAGGTTTACAAATATTGTTTTTATTTCAGTGCCACAGGGCCCCTGTGTCTTTAATCCCAGCAAATGTGGAGGACTGACTGTTCGCTCAGTGCACAATTTATATTTTAATTTAGGTCATTACCTCCGAACTTCTGGACAGCCTGGTCGACTGCATCAATAATCTGATCTTCTTCCCTCACGTTAACAATACAGGGTAAAGCTTTCCCTCCAGCTGCTTCAACTGAAGAAGAAGAAGAAAGGGAAATAGGCACAATGTGGAGTGGTAAAAATACCGTATTTCATCAATTCTAAGACACCATCAACGGTAAGACGCATAGTAATTTCAGTATCACCAACAGAAAAAACAACTTTATTTAAATATACAAAAAAGCAGCTGTGATTCAAAAAAGCACCCAATTTTTTGAGATTTTTATGTAAGAAAAAAAATGAGTCTTAGAATTTTACAAATACAGCATTTTAAAAAGAAGGGCATACATGGGACAATGACAAGTGGTTTACAACTGAAACCAGATGATCAAAGACCTTGCCTCATTTTATGGCAGCGGCAATATTGGCTTGACACAATATTGTAAGGGAGGAACCAAGAATGGCTCCGCAAATGTTGCTGGACTATTACTCTCCTCAGTCCTCAGCTCACTAGCCAGTTCTAAGGGATAATGGGAAATGTAGTCCAACACTAACTGAGAGGCTCAGAGCACTCAACTTGCTGTGAAGTTTAATACCAAAACAAAACCTGGAAATGAATATAGTTGCAGTTGAAAACGTATCGCCTTGAATCCCAGAACAAGGTACACTCACTTGTCCCCTGCAATTGCCTCCTATTTTGTTGTTGTTGTTGTTATATTTACAATAGCCTCCTATTTTGTTGTTATATTTATTTCTATCTGGATTTATAGCAATGGGTTAAACACTTGTGCCAGCAGGACTGCTGACTGAAAGCTCGGCGGTTCTTTTCTGGGGAGTGGGGTGAGCTCCCGTCTGTCAGCTCTAGCTTCTCATGTGGGGACGCAAGAGAAGCCTCCCACAGGATGGTAACACATTCGGGCATCCCCTGGGCAGCATCCCTGCAGATGGCCAATTCTCTCACACCAGAAGCAACTTGCAGTTTCTCAAATCACTCCTGCTGTAAAAAAAAAAACTCTAAAAAGAGACCCAAAGCGGTAAAACTACTAAAACTACATACGCTTTGCCAATGGTATTATGCCAGATGCCAGCACTATCAAGAGGCACTTGGTTCTTTCATTTTTGGCTCTCAAAAGCCTGCACTATCATAGCACTATGGTAATGGTGGCAGAGTAGATTTAGGAAATGGTGTCTGCTATTGCATCAGGACATTTTCTGGTGTGCTTCTGAAGAATGAATGACTAATTCCCATGCCAGGTCCCGTCCCAGTGTCAATTTGTCTTTCTGATGCACTTTATCTCATCCCTCATTGGAGATTAACCTCATTGTTTATCCCGCCCGAGTCTATCACTAGTCACAGCACTTTATCTACCTATCTCACCCACGGGTTTTACAATTTTTACTTTTCGCATTTGGCCCAGCTCACCCTCGTTTAATCCTTGTACCGTTTTATACTCTGTTTTATTATGTTATTGTTGCTATTTTATTGTATTAGCATGTTATTGTTTAGCATTTTACTTGAAGTTATCATCTGTTTTTGTATGTATTTTATTTTATTTTGCCTTATTGTAATTGCTTAGGCTTGGCCCCATGTTAGCTGCCCTAAGTCCCTTCGGGGAGATGGTGGCAGGGTACAAATGTGGTTATTATTATTTATTATTTTCCGCATCAACCTTCCCATACTGCCTTCCCACCAAGGACTGCTCTGCACAAAGTGGTTAAAAAACAAAGATCACTCTCAATACAGTCACCTCTGCTGGAAGGTGTGCTCCAGTTGCCCAAAACGATACTTACCTGCCTCCTATTCAATGCCACCTTTCCTTGCGGAGGGAAGCCTTGGTCATCACTCCATGTAAACACCAAATAATGTCAGTGGCATAATTATGACTCTGTTGTTGTTCATTCATTCAGTCGTCTCCGACTCTTCGTGACCTCATGGACCAGCCCACGCCAGAGCTCCCTGTCGGCCGTCACCACCCCCAGCTCCTTCAAGGTCAGTCCAGTCACTTCAAGGATGCCATCCATCCATCTTGCCCTTGGTCGGCCCCTCTTCCTTTTACCTTCCACCTTCCCCAGCATAATTGTCTTCTCCAGGCTTTGCTGTCTCCTCATGATGTGGCCAAAGTACTTCAACTTTGTCTCTAGTATCCTTCCCTCCAATGAGTAGTCGGGCTTTATTTCCTGGAGGATGGACTGGTTGGATCTTCTCGCAGTCCAAGGCACTCTCAGAACTTTCCTCCAGCACTATCCACTCTATCGCCATGCAATTTAAAGTTGGGGTCCCTGGAACAGGGCTAGTTTGTAAGGTGTTAGCTGCCAAGACCGTTGTTTCCAGGAAGAAAAAAAAACCAGTTGTAGCCAATGGACACTAATAGGGTACTAGTCCTTGGCACGCTGGAAAACAAAATGCTCCGTCCCAAACATCAGATAATTAATAAGCTCTATAGAATCCTTCAGAATTTGGAAAACAAAGCATCAAAGGCAAGGGAAGCCAATAATTCAGAGTATTTTAAAATGTGAGTGGAAAATCCAAAATTGGGAAACCAAGCTCTATGAGGAGCTGCTTAGGGAATGGGAATGTTTCGCTTGGAGAAAAGAAGGCTGCAGGAGGAACATAATTTATTTGTATCCCATCTCCCCAAAGGGACTCGGGGTAGCTCACAGAAAGCACTCCATAGTGCAACAATATGCAAGTACAACAAAATGCAGAAAAGTATAAATTAATAGAGATGACACCCACATGATAGTCATATTTAAATATTTGAATGGATGTCACACCAGAAGCGACTTGCAGTTTCTCAAGTCGCTCCTGACACACACAAAAATCAACCATAGAATATGGAAACCCAGACACATCCGTTAAATTCTCAGCTGATTTAAAAAGAAAGATAGAAACAAAAGTTTCTGTGCAAATCAACAGGGATCATTAGGCAGGTATACAGAGTGCAAACGACCCAGCTCAGTGAGGTATTATCCCAGTTTCCACCCATTATAGGCTTAAACGTTGAATGACTTGCTGTGAATCTCAGATTTGGCTTTGTCAGAACTTACTTTCTTCTGCAGCAGTGTAGATGGTCCCTGGGAGTGTGTGATGTGGCACTCCTGTCTTTGCAGCTATCACAATATTAGCCCCATCCTTTGCCGCTTTCAAGGCAATCGCTTTTCCAATACCACGGCTGGCACCCGTGATAAAGAGGGTGCATCCTGCCAACTTCCTACAGGAAAAATAAAACAACAAAGACAGCTTCAGAAAAATCTTCCTTTCCTCCAGGCAACAAATACAACATGTTTGCCATAGGAATGTCACTAAGGCCCCTTCTACACTGACATATAATCCAGATTATCAAAGCAAATAATCCACATGATCTGCTTTGAACTGGATTATATGATTTCATGAAATTCACCTTTTTCTCCAACTCAAAGCCTCCCAAAGCCAATCACATCCATCCTGGGGGCTTCCTATCTAAAACTGGTGGGCAATCGTATGAATAAAATATGGGACTGGTAGTCCAGAAACACAAAATGTGCAGCACTCCAGATGTTATTAAACTGCCCTAATAACAGCCCTAAGTAGTATAACAAATGGAGAGGACTGTAGTTTAGTGACATCAGAAGGGACTTGACATGAGTCAGGAAGTAGCAGCCTGTAATGAAAGGACTAAGGCATTGACATCTCCAGCCCATTGTCTGTTCGGATATCAGTCAGCATGCCAACGCCTTAAATCAAGAAATATCTTCCTAAGATCTACAGAGATACTCACAGGAACACCTCAGCGAGTAAGAGTCCAAAAGCGGCAGGATAAACTCCGGAACCTCGATCTATGGTTGATACCAAATGAGAGACTCCCTCCTGGGCACACAGAAGACTAGGCAACTTGGAAGGTGCTGAACAGACTGTGCTCTGTCACCACAAGGTGCAGAGGCAATCTCAAGAAATGGGGCTACAAAGCGGAGTGCACAACTACTTACTACAATGTGGTCAGACCCCTGCCACATGCACAACGGAGGACCTTCTTACAGCCAAACCAGAGGCACTCAAATGTCCAGTTTCTGGTCAAAGAAAATTTAGTATAATGCCAACTTTTAAACTTTGTGGTTTGTCTATACATTATAACTGTATTATCAATTCTCAATTTTCTTCTGATACGATAAATGAAAATCAGAAGGGACACTATATTCATTCCTAGTCTGATACAGCCCAGAAATTCTGAAATATTATACAGCTAAAAAAACCCAATACGAAGCAGCCCTCTACATTTGCAGATTTGACTTCTTTAAATTTGATTATTTACAAATGTGATTCACTCATTCTAGAAATCTCTAGGTCCTTCTGTGCACCTTTTTGCTAGAAGTCAACCATAAATTTGTATCGGAAGACCTAGAAAATGTTAAAGAGAAGACTTCTCTAGGTATTTGTAGGCACTGCAGCATGATTTCACGATCAACTTCCAGCAGAAGTAGAACCCACAGTCATACTAAAGGACCTAGGATAGATCTCCAGTGCCATATAATTCCAGATTCTGAATCCAGATTATCTGCTCTGAACTGGATTATATGAGTCTACACTGTCAGATAATCTGTATTCAGAAACTGAATTATATGGCAGGGTAGATAAGGCCCTAGAAATTCATAAGAGAGATATTGTTGTAGTTCAGCATGTGATTGTGTCTGACGTCAATGGGGATGAGGGTTTATCTGAGCCTGAGTCAAACCCAGGCTTTGCTGAGAGGCCCGAGGTTTCTCATGAACTATTTCTCCTGTAGATTCTCAACGTCAAATTCCTGAGAGAGGCCCACAGCAGTCTTTCTCTGAGAAACTCTCTTCTAAACATGATTTGTCAAGTGCAGAATTTAATGAGTTTGAAGACAAAAAACAGGACTTTTGTAAACTAAGGCAAAGTTCTCAAGATTGGCAAAGGTCAGTCTGTCTGCAAGAAAAGAGATAAGAAATTCATTCCTTTCAGTTCATGGGACAGGAAATGCTTTATATGATATGAGAAAAGGATTCTAGCTCAGTCTCGTCAACATTGGAGTTTCATGACGGTCTTGTTTCCAACTGGATTTCTAGTTTCATGTTTCAAGTTTTGCCAGGTTCCTGTTCTGGGCATTGGATCTCCATGCTGCGTTGTTCTCTCTGGTTTAAAAAATAGCTTTTTTGAATGTGCAGTTTTCCCACTTTTATGGGGTCCTGTGCCACTAATCACAGTGCATGTGGAAAACTAGCTGTATTTGCTACGACAGTTAACAGTAAAAGTAACAATTAAATTATAGTTGCCAACAGCTATAGTACTGTAATTTGATTTCTGCTAGCTTGCACGCACAATAATCCATCCCTTCACCCTCATTTCAATTGGGGTCTAACTGACCCTGATGACCTTTGAGTGATAACATTCAATTTTCAAATGCAGTCAAACAAGCCTGGGGAGGTGTAATTGAAACACTACAAAGCAATCATTATTGCAGAAGAATAATTGGAACATGAAGTAGCAAGTGCGATCATAAATGGAGAGAGGCTTCAGATCTACCATCAAGTGACCGACGTGAGATGTAAATGACCTTTCAAATAAGTAATTGTCGCTCTTACATATTCATCTGTCAGAACAGAACCACGCTCCCAGTATTGTTGGTTTATTTTTTTAATTAGAGAATGTCTTGAGAAAATTAGATGCTTCTTTATGGCACATCTCTCAATTGAGGTCATTTTTATCTTGGCCATCAATACGGAGCAAGCCATAGCTCCGACAAGAAGAACAGGCGATTAGCAGGTTTATGTCATTTAACCCTGGTTACATTCTACCAGCAGCTCTCTTTGGATTTTGCAACCATGCGGGGGACAAAGGCAAGATCGAGCACGGTTAAAGCCCAAGCAAGCTATAACATGATTCCATTTTCATTTTGCTTATTTGCTTGAATGTTACTCCTAGCCTTTCCTTTGGGAACACAGACCATTCCCGCAGAACGACTGCTTTGGTTTTCAACAATGATATCAGCTCACTGTCCGAGGGTGCTAATTCACTGTAGAATAAATGCAGTTTGACACCACTTTAACTGCCATGTTTCAGTGGGATGGCTTTTCCAAAAGATTACAATGAGAATGAGATCCTAAACCAGTGGTTCACAACCTTTTTTGACCAGAGACCACTTGACCAGGGACCACATTGACCAGAGACCACTCTCCAACATTACTACCAAAAGGGATACGAATCGGTTTTTAGTCAACTTTAGATAACCAACTTCAGTTTGGTTATTTGGGCTGCTGATTCAGAAAATTGCATTGGATGGACCTGGTGGCGCAGTGGGTTAAACCACTGAGCTACTAAACTTGCTGACCGAAAGGTTGCCACTTCAAATCTAGGGAGCGGGATGAGATCCCACTGTAAGCCCCAGCTTTTGCCAACCTAGCATTTCGAAAACATGCAAATGTGAGTAGATCAATCGGTACCGCTCCAGTGGGAAGGTAACGGCACTCCATGCAGTCACATGACCTTGGAGGTGTTTATGGACAATGCCAGCTCTTCAGCTTAGAAATGGAGATGAGCACCACCACCCCATGACTGGATTTAATGTCAGGGGAAAACCTTTACCTTTACCTAGACCACATCAGCTCTAGTTTCCGATACAGAACATATGCCATCCAGTAGTTGCCATCTCCTCACCCACAGAAAACCATATTTAATGATCTAGAGCTGATGTGGTAGTAGTAATCTTTCAGGAAGAGCCTTTGAGGTATGAATAATGATCCCATACTTTGACCAAATCCAGCATAAAATGCCCTTCGATGCACTTTATCTCACCCTTTAGCAAAATTAAACCCCACTGCTTGTCCCACCTGAACCTCCTACCACTACATTACTCATCTCACCTAGGGTTTTTAAATTTTTATCCTTTGCAATTGCCCCTGCCCACTCTGTTTAATTTTTCATTATTTCATATTATATCCTGTGTTTATTTTATATTTTTCTTTTGTTATATTTTGTTATATTTTTATTTGATGTATTATTGTATGTTTGTATTTTTTGCTTTATTGTAATTGTTGGGCTTAGCCTCATGTTAGCAGCCCTGAGTTCCCTTGGGAAGATGGTGGCGGAGTATAAATAAAGATGATGACGATGACGATGACGATGACGATGATGATGATGATTATTATTATTATTAGGAGCCAGCCTCTCCCTTCCCTCTTGCCATGACACTATAAGAGGGTTTTGTGAGACCAGTTACTCTTGCTGCTGCATGGTTTCGAGGCAACGGTGTAGTAATGGTGAGGCGATGGACCATACTTTTTTTTCTTGTGGACCACTGGTAGTCTACGGACCACAGGTTGGGAACCATTGTCCTAATAGTTACTGGTCTGGATAGATTAGTGCTTTCCTCAACATGATAAAACAGTATGCAAGTATGTGGACCTTCAAGTCACCTGTTGACTTATGGCAATCCCATGAATTTCATCCAGGGTTGTGTTTTTTTTTAAGCTAAATGGGGAGAGGAAGAAAGTTTTCCTCTTTTTAAAGAGAAAAAATAAAAAATAAAAAATAAATATTTATGCCCTTTACAGATTACAGAAAGAAGGTCACTAAACATAACTTGGTCTGGAATGAAATGACCTTGCTTGACATACCAAAATAATAGTATATTCAGAATATAATTGCAAATTGAATTTACCTTTTAAATTTGAATGTTGTTACAAATGGAGTTAAAAAGGGAACTGCTCTGACTTTGCCAGTTTGAGGAGCAGGAGGCAGAGAAAACAATCCCAATAAAAGCAACAAACCATCACCATTAGTAAAGCAAGGATCACAAAACATTGTTAGTTAAAACAAAGACAATCACTTTGTCTCCACCAGCAGACACCAACCATTCTTTCTGATGAACGGAACTGAGAAAAGGAGACCAAGGGTCCTTCCTCACAATCCTCTATCCCAGAATATCAAGGCAGAAAATCCCACAATATCTGCTTTGAACTGGGTTATCTGAGTCCACACTCTGATAATGTAGGATTTTCTGCCTTGATATTCTGGGATATAGGGCTGTGTGGAAGGGGCCCAAGACTTGGAATTGTAATCTCCTGTTACTGTATGCAACCTTATATAAAAACTATAGAAGTCAGGGAAGAATCAGAGGACTGGAAATATAATGCAACAGGGGCCTTTCTAATCTATATAATCAAAACAAAGATCCTTGTTGTGTTATATTTCCAAATCTTAACACCAAGGCCCCTTTCACACAGCTGAATAAAATCCCACATTATCTGCTTTGAGCTGGAATATACAACCGTGTGGACTCAGATAACCGAGTTCAAAGGAGATATTGTGGATTTTCTGCCTTGGTATTCTGAGTTATAGGGCTGTGTGGAGGGTCCTTGAGTCTTCCTGACTTCTTTGCCTGCTCTTTTGCAGAAGTTTGCTTAATAAACATCCCAAACTTTGGGGGGAAAGCATGCAATCCATTTCTGTCTCCTTCTGGATGAGCAAATAAAGACTGTCGCAAGATAGACTTTGGAATTTTTCTTCTGGGCAACCGGTTATTTTTACACAAACACACCCTCCTCCTTCCAAGAAGCAATTCCATGAAGGGACGCCAAGTTTTCAACCAGGCCCTAAAGAAGGGCCCTATATCTCAGGCAGGAAATCCCACATTATCTGAGTGTGGACTTTGGGCCCTTCCACACAGCCATAGAACCCAAAATACTAAGGCAGGAAATCCCACAATATCTGCTTTGAACTGGGTTATCTGAGTCCACACTGCCATATATTCCAGTTCAAAGCAGATAATGTGGGATTTTATTCAGCTGTGTGGAAGTCTTACTTCAATACAGATATTGTGGGATTTTGCGCCTTAATATTCTGGGATATTGGGCTGTGTGGAAGGGCCTGAAGTGTGTGCAAAAGGAAGGAAGTGGATTCAACCTGCAGCAGTAGTAACACTCAACTGGCTTGCAGTGACTCTCAATATTTAAAATTATTTTGGATCAGTAGCCTTTATACGATATGCTTGGGACCAGATGTGGTTTTTATTTTGGATGTTTTTCCCCAGGTGTTGGAACACTTTATTTGCATGTAAGCCCTGAATTATAAGAAGGCATCTTGAAAATACAACGTTCATGGCATGGGCAAACTTTGGCCCTCCAGGTGTTTTGGACTTCCTGTTAGGAATTGTGGGAGGGCCGAAGTTTGCCCATACCTGGCCTACACTGTAGAATTAACGCAGTTTCATACCACTTTAATGGCCATAGTTCAATGCTATGGGATCCTGAGAGTTTTAAAAGTTCTATACAAGTGAAGGTGCCTCGGCGGACTGCAGCGCTCCCAAGATAACATCATGAGCCAAGTGGTATGAAACTGGGTTAATTCTGCGGTGTGGACGCGGGGCTCCACGTGGGCCCAGAGCAGGGCGATCGCGCGAGGCCTGCGCCGTAGCCTTACCCCGTGTTGGGCAGCATCTCCGGGTCCGGAGGTGATAAAGGGGCAGGAAGGGAGGGAGGGAAGGCGGGAGCGCGGCAGAGAGCGGGGCCGGAGCCCGAGAGGAAGGAAGGAGGAGGAGGCCGCGCTCGGAACCTTCAGCCACTGGGCAAAGGACGCAACAATCGGGCCCCGCCCACTCCGCCATTAGGGACACGCCCCCTCTGGGAACCCCGCCCACTCCTCCACCAGCAGCCACGCCCCCGAGCAGTCCCAGGCTCGGAGGAAGACTCTAAGCCCTGCCCACTCCGCCGGCAGTAGCCACGCCCCCTTTGTGCCGTCCGAGAGGCGAAGCGGGTCACTTCCCTACCCGAAGCCCCGCCCTCCAAGAGCCCCGCCCACTCCACTAGCGAAGCAAAGTACACCACCTCTCCCCACCTCTAAGCGCCGTCCCCTCCACTCGCAGGGGCCACGCCCCCTGTGGCTTGCCTCTACGTCCGGCCCACTAGCAGGAGCCCCGCCCCCTTTGCATTACCCAGACGAGAGGGACACCATTCTTCTCCACCACTAAGCCCCGCCCCCTCTGACTTTCTCAGGAGGGAAAAACCCTAAGCCCCGCCCACTCCGCTGCCAGGAGCCACGCCCCCTTTGCGTTTCCCAAAAGCTAGAGACACCATTTTTCTCCACCTCTAAGCCCCGCCCCCTCTGCTTTTCCCAGGAGAGAATAGCCCCGCCTCGCCACCTCTAAGCCCCGCCCACTCCATTGGCAGGAGCCCCGCCCCCTTTGCGTTCCCCAGAAGCTAGGGACACCAGTGGGGGTGTTGTGAGTTTTCCGGGCTGTATGGCCTTGTCCCAGAAGCATTCTCTCCTGATGTTTCGCTTGCATCTATGGCAGGCATCCTCAAAGGTTGAGAGGTCTGTTGGAAACTAGGAATATGGGGTTTATATATCTGTGGAAAGACCAGGGTGGGAGAAAGTACTCTTGTCTGTTGGAGGGAGGAGTGAATGTTTCAATTGGCCACCATTTACGACATTTATATGCCGCCTTTCTCACCCCGAAGGGGACTCAGAGTGGCTTACAAGATATATACATACAATATATTACATTACTAGCATAGTACAATATCAGTATGAAGTATTACTATATTGGACTATATCATTATATTGTAATATTAGTAATATTTCATGTAATATAAAATATAGAATTATAATATTGCATTATTAGTAGTATTAAATTGTATCACATGATAATATTATAAATATTATATATTTATGAAATTGCTGGAAGAAACATTAACAACCTCAGATATGCAGATGACACCACTCTGATGGCCGAAAGAGAGGAGGAGCTGAGGAGCCTTCTAATCAAGGTGAAAGAAGAAAGCGCAAAAGCCGGGTTGCAGCTAAACGTCAAAAAAACCAAGATTATGGCAACAAGAATGATTGACAACTGGAAAATAGAGAAACCGTGGAGGCCGTGACAGACTTTGTATTTCTAGGTGCAAAGATTACTGCAGATGCAGACTGTGGCCAGGAAATCAGAAGACGCTTACTTCTTGGGAGGAGAGCAATGTCCAATCTCGATAAAATAGTAAAGAATAGAGACATCAGACTGGCAACAAAGATCCGCCTAGTCAAAGCCATGGTATTCCCTGTAGTAACCTACGGATGTGAGAGCTGGACCTTAGGGAAGGCTGAGCGAAGGAAGATCGATGCTTTTGAGCTGTGGTGTTGGAGGAAAGTTCTGAGAGTGCCTTGGACTGCGAGAAGATCCAACCAGTCCATCCTCCAGGAAATAAAGGCCGACTGCTCACTGGAGGGAAAGATACTAGAGACAAAGTTGAAGTACTTTGGCCACATCATGAGGAGACAGGAAAGCCTAGAGAAGACAATTATGCTGGGGAAAGTGGAAGGCAAAAGGAAGAGGGGCCGACTAAGGGCAAGATGGATGGATGGCATCCTTGAAGTGACTGGACTGACCTTGAGGGAGCTGGGGGTGGTAACGGCCGACAGGGAGCTCTGGCGTGGGCTGGTCCATGAGGTCACGAAGAGTCGGAGACGACTGAACGAATGAACAACAAAACATTATAATATCATAAATATTATATGTATGTACAATATATTATTAGTAAAGCACAGGAGACAAGAGGGAACTATCTTCTGCCCCCCTTTCTCTTCACTCTGGCCAGAGCAGCAGGTGGTGCCATTCTTCTTCACCTCTAAGCCCCGCCCCCCTCTGCTTGTCCTAGGAGAGGAAAAGCCCCGCCTCGCTTCCTCTAAACCCCGCCCACTCCAGTGGCAAGAGCCCCGCCCCCTTTGCATATCCCAGAAGTGAAAGGAACATTCCTCTCCACTTCTAAGCCCCGCCCACTCCGCTTGCAGGAGCCCCGCCCCTCTTTGCATTCCTCGGAAGCGAAGGACACCATTCTTTTCCACTCTAAGCCCCGCCCCCTCTGCCTTTCCCAGGGGGGAAGAAAAGCCCCGCCTCTCCACCTCCAAGCCACGCCCACTCCACTGCCCCCCTTTGCATTCCCCAGAAGCGAGGAACGCCATTCTTTTCAATCTTTAAGCCCCGCCCACAAGTGCAAGAGCTTTTGGAAACGCCCCCTCTAAGCCCCGCCCCCTTCTCCCAATCAGCTCTTCTCTGACCGACTCCGCGCGTCCATAGCAACCACGCGAGGGGGGGGGGAAGGAAAGCTCCGCCTTTCCTAACCATGTGAGCAAGGAAGTCCTCTCTCCTTTCCCTCCCCCTTCCCTGCCCGGCTCAGTTGGTTCCTCCCTCTTTGTGGTTCGCCCAGCAAACTCCTCATGACTTTCTGGATGGACCCCTCCCGTCGTCCAGTAATAATAACAACAATATAAGCTGCCATTATTATCCTCAGATATGTATTTATTAATAAGTCTCAGTTATTAATGATGCATTTTATTATTATTAATTTGGGGTATTCAATCTGCTTATTGTACTATTATTTAATAATAAACATATTTGTTATGTAATTATTACTGTTTAAGAAATCATCAATATTATATACTAATATAATATTTGTTTATTTACAATATTTCTACCCCGCCTTTCTCAAACCCGAAGGTGATTCAAGGCGGCTTTACAACATTTGCAGCTATTCGATGCCATTATTAATTATTATTCAATGTCAATATTATTAATATGAATAATAGTTATGGTAATGGTAATAGGAATACTTATTGAAATATTAAGATGATATCAATAATATTTATAAATAACAATAGTCATAATTATTACTATTATTATATATTAAATAATACACATTGATAATAAATAATATCCCTTATTATTATTATTATTATTTAATATCACTTATCCAAAATGCGAGGGACCATAAATGTTTTGGATTTTTTTCTCCGGATTTTGGAATATTTGCTTCTCCATAAAGAGAGATCTCAGAGATGAGATCCAAGTCTAAACATGAAATCCATTTATGTTTCATATACGCATAGCCTGGAGGAAATTCTATGCACTTCATTTGACTTAAGTACATGTTACGGACTTAAAACAAATAAAGCTTGGGTTGTGATGTCACTGGATTGGTTCTTGCTAGGTGAAGGGTTGTCTGTTGCTAGCTGAAGTTGGCTCTCTGAAATGTCACTGGATTGGCTGCTTCTAAGTGAAGTGGTCCTCTGGTATCACTAGATCTGCTCTTGCTAAGTGAATGATTGGCTGTTGCTAGGTGAAGTGGTCCTCTGGTGTCACTAGATCTGCTCTTGCTAAGTGAATGATTGGCTGTTGCTGGGTGAAGTGGCCCTCTGTGATTCACTGGATTGGCTGTTGCTAAGTGAAGGACTGCTGTTGCTAGATAAAATTGGCTCTCTGTGAAGTCACTGGATTGGCTGTTGCTAGGCGAAGTGGCCCTGTGGGAACTCACTAGGAAATATAGGTGACATGTGTATAAGTGGAAGGAGAAAGAATGAAAGAGCCAGAAAGAGAGCAATATTGCTATGGAGATGTTGTGAGAAGGGAGGAAGGGGACAGGAGGGAAGGAAAGAAAAAATCAGGCGAAAAAGAAAGGAAAGAAAGGAATGGGAAGGAATGGAAAAAGAAAAAAGAAGGAAGAAGGAAGAGACAGGAAAGGGGAAAAGATATGAAGGGAGGGAAGAAAAGAAAGAAAAAGACGGGATAAAAGCAGGGGACACTTGGGCAATACTAAGTATATACACTAGAAAAGAAATGAATACATGTGCTTCCATACATGGGATTAGGTAGGCTGATATGTATTTATTAATAAGTCTCAGATATTAATAATGCATTTTATTAATTATTAATTTGGTGTATTCATTCTGTGTATTGTACTATTATTTAATAATACTAAACATCTTATTTGTTTTATAATTATTACTGTTTAATAAATCATCAATATTATATACTAATATATTATTTGTTTGTTTATTTACGATATTTCTACCTTGCCTTTCTCGAACCTGAAGGTGACTCAAGGCAGCTTTACAACATAGGCAGCTATTTGATGCCATTATTAATTATTATTCAATGTCAATATTATTAATATGAATAATAATAGTTGTGGTAATGGTAATAGGAATACTTATTGATAATAACGTTAAGATAATATTATCAATAATATTGATAAATAACATGGGATTAGATAGGCTGCAAGTCTGGTTCATTCCAGGGAAAAATCCTTCATAGTGAACATTTATTTATTTGGGTTGTTGTAGGTTTTTTCGGGCTATATGGCCATGTTCTAGATGCATTCTCTCCTGTCGCCTGCATCTATGGCAAGCATCCTCAGAGGTAGTGAGGTTTTATTTATTTATAGCATTTATACCCCGTCCTTCTCGACCTCCGAGGAGAGACTCAAGACAGCTTCCAAACAAGCAACAATTCAATGCCAACACAATATCAAGCACATAATAAAATACAGCCATATACAATCAAATATTTATTAATATACATTAAAACAGTTCACCAGGTTAAAATCATCATGCAAATCAGTCCAAATGCAGTCCAATAAAATCTAATCTTTACCAGTATAAAAATCTATTCTGCGAATGCTTGATCCTATAACCAGGATTTAAGTTTCTTCCAGAAGGTCAGGAGGGAGGGGGCAGATCTAACCTCATTAGGGAGGGAGTTCCACAGCCGAAGGGCCGCCACGGAGAAGGCCCTGTCTCTCGTCCCCACCAAATGCGACTGCGAAAACTATGTCACAAACTCTTC